GCAAGAGTGATATAAATAATTATGTATGTACACAAATATAATATTTTGAGTTAAAATTTTTGAGTAATTTTAATTATTACACCTATGGGTCTAGGAGATAGCTCAGGGGAATAAACACTTGCCTGGCAAGTGTAAGTGCCTGAGTTCAATCTCTGGTTCTGAAAAAAAATTATTACACCTAGTTGGAAATTCAAAATGTATATTCACCTACTAAAATTTCTGAGAAATTTTGAATAAGAAAACTCATGATTATTTAAGCTTTATATCTTAAAACTTGACCAGAAAAATGTATTTTCACAGATTTTTGAGACACACATTATCTGTTTGATTCATGATGCAATTGAGCAAACTTCTAAGATGAATTGAAATATGTGGAGAAATGCTTTGCATTTTACATTATCCTACGAGTCATTCAACATTTATAACTGTAGTAATTTTCTATAAATTCTGTCCAGTTGGTCTTAGTTTAATTTAATACCTTAAACACAACTTTTTATCCTAATGGAAAACATTATAGCAGTGTAGTGAACCACTTGGAAAAGAATGATAGGTGAGATGCAGGAGTAGATTGAAAATGTTCATAGTTTATATGATAGTTAATAGAAGGCCGATAGTTAATATGAAGAAACAGTTAATATGAAGAAGTAAGACATCAGCATATGGCTGATACCGAACATAAATAAAAGAGATATTAGCATGCAGAATTCTGAGGAAAAAGCGCCTTGAAGTAAATATATGTGTGACACTCAAAATATGTTCAGACTGGACAGTAGAAATATGCATGAAATAGACAGTTGAATCTGATGAGTATTAAAGTGAAAGTTGAACAGGGATTAAATTATGTGATAGAGTGCTATAATATTAGAAAGGCTAAGGCATGACATGTAGGTGAGGGTGGATAAATTCATTTTGAAATGTTTCCAGAGTCACAAAAATCCTTACACAATTTTAAAAACATGAATTTTCTAAGTTGTTTATTGTTCAAGATATTGAATGATAATACAAAGTTTTGCAAAATCAAGGCAAATGTTCAATTGTTTAAGATCTATATAATTTTAATTTTTTATGTGTTCTACGTAGGAGGCCTTTGTCAAAGGAGCAGTTGGCTCTAATACTTTCTCTGTACATGAGTTTTCTTTTTACTCTGCTGAAGATTTCCTTTGAAGTGCAGAAACAATTCAATAAGATGAAAACCCACTTGTTAATTCTTTGAAGTATTGTCCATGCAGTTTTGTTTTTGTTCATGAACTCTGTACCTACTCCTATCTCTTTAAAATTTTTAACTACATTTTCCTCCAGGAGATTTAGTGTTTTTGTTTTAATGTTTAAATCATTGATCTATGTTGACAGTAGTTTTAGGCATGGTGATAGACACGGTTCTAATTTTAGTCTTTGGCATGTGGAAAGCCAGTATTTCCAGCACAATTTATTAAAGAGGCTATGTTTCTTCCAGTGGACATTTGGCCCTTCTTTCAAAGATAAAGTGTCTAAGAGTGTTTATATTTGCTTCTGCATCTTCCAGTGTGATCCACTGATCCTCAGGTCTGTCTGTGTGCAAGCATCGTGATATTTTATCACAGTAGCATTGTAGCATAATTTCAGGCCAAGGATTGTGATACTTCTTGCATTTTCTTTGTTGCTCATGATTACTTTTGACATACTGGATCTTGTCTGGCTCCAGATGAATTTCAAGAATATTCTGTCTATATCTGTGAGGTATATTAATGGTATTTTAATTGGTATTACATTGAATCTATATGACAACTTTGGGAGTATGGCTGTTATTACAATGTTGGTTCTTCCTATCTAGGAGCAAGAGATATCTTTCCATTTCCTGAAATCCTCTTTGGTCTCATCTCCAAGTACATTACCAATTTTTTTTTTTTTTGCAGAACCAGAAACTGACCTCAGGCCCTTGCATTTCCTAGGCAAATGTTTATTCTACTGAGCTATATCCCCAGCCCCTGTACCATAATTTTCGCTGTATAATTTTTTTTACATCCTTTGTGAGTTTGGTTCCTAAGTATTTTACTTTTTTTTTGGATGTCATTGTCAAAGCATGATTTCCTTAATTTCTCTCTTGATGATTTTGTTGTTTTTGTACAAAAATGCTATTGATTTTGGAGTGTTGATTTCATTTCCTGCTACTGAATTTGATTATTAAATCTACAATGCTCTTGGTGGAGTTTTTGGGGTCTTCTACATACAGTATCATGTCACCTGCACACAGTGATAATTTTAACTCTTCCTTTCTAATTATTATTCCTTTTATTTCTCTACCTTTTCTAATTTGTCTGGCTAATATTTCCAAAACACCATGTTTATAGCAGACCAATTTAGTATTGTCATATCTGAGAAGCATCCCAAATGCCCATCAACTGAGGAGTAGATAAAGATGTGGTGCATTTACTCAGTGGAGTTGTATTCAGGTATAAAAAGGATAAATTTTCCATCTCCTGGGTCTGCTGTGCCAGCCCCTCCCCTGGGGTGTGCTGAGATGGCGATTGAGACTGACCATGGTGGTGTGAGCCTGTAATCCCAGATCTTGGGAGGCTGTAAACAGGCATATTACTACAAGTCCGATCTAGTAGTGAGTCCCTGAACACACTGTAGACCCTTCCTTAAAATACAGGAAAAAAAAGGTTAAATTTCAGACTTTTAACAGTAAATGGATGCAACTAGAAACCATACTCTTAAGTGAAATACATCAGACCCACATGTGCAAATATGTATTGTCATCTTAGTGTGAGAATCTGAGACATAAAATGGAATCTGAAGGTTACAATAGATACTCAGAAAAAATTAACTTATTCAAAACAAAAGAATGATTGATTAAGTTGAGGAGAAAGACAGGAGATAGAGTTGTGGAAAGAGATGTTTATAAGCAGAATGGTTTAGATAATTGTACTGTGGATTTCTGCTGGTCTGTAGAAAGGAGAAATTAATAATTTTAGTTTTCTTTTTTAAACTTTTTTATTTTCTCTCCTCTTAATTTCTTGTAATTTTTTTCCTTCTTCCAATTTTGCATGTATGTGTGTGGTAATCTGAATAACTATAGCAAATATCATCAAATTCATATTATTTTGTTTAGTGAAATTCTGTATCATTTGTTTTTTTCTGTTTTAATAACTCATACTGTCCTTAAAATAAAAAATAATTTTAATTAAGAATATTGTTTATATTTATTTTTACTGTTGTTCTAATTTATTTATTTTGATATTGAAAGTTTGGCTTCAAATCTAACACTATTTCCCATAAAATAATGTTTAAATTCTAATACTATCAATAAGATGTGTATGGTAAGCCCAATTCAAATATTTAACAATAAGAAATCCAACTTTCTTTCCTTCAATGAAGAAATCATGATAAATTAAGCAAAGCCATTAAACACAAGAGATTATCTTTGGTGGACCAAGACTGTAGTTGTAGCACTTGGGAGATTGAGAAAGGAGGATTGCTTCAACTAGAAGGACTGCCTGGACTACATAGTGAGTAATTGTAGGCCAATTTGAACAACACAGTGATTTCCTATATCAAAATAGATGATGATGATGATGATGATGATGATGATGATGATGATGATGACGATGAAGATAGATAGATAGATAGATAGATAGATAGATAGATAGATAGATAGGGCAGCAGATTAATAAGGTGAAATGGGAATTTTTCAAACATAATGAAGTTGAAAATGTTAAAATTACCTGGATGGCTGTGTCATCAGAAAGCTCTAAGGCATTTCCAAAGTGGAGCTGGGAAATCTAAGCTCACCTCATCTGTGGAATAGAGTACAAAATTGTGGACTTCCCTCATTGTAACAGAATTTTAAGGAGTCTTCCATGAGAGGCATGAGTACATGTACTTGGTCAAACTGAAATAATATATATTCAAAGAAATACTGTGTGGGTACTCAAAAGGGGCATGCCACCTTACGAAACCATTGATATTTGTGTTTCTCTATTTTGAAGAAGAAACTTATGGAAAATAATACTTAGACCCCAAAAGCACAGTGGTCCCTTACAAAGGAGAAAGGTAAACACCCATCTGTTTTAAGGATATTTTAAGCATTATTAAAATTCTGTTATACAGTCCTTTCCTTATAAATGAGGTTTCCTACACTCTTGACCTTCTCATTGGAGCTAACTGAATGGATTTACAGTGTCGTTAGGGAAGTGTGGTTGAGGGCTGGGGAAATAGTTCAGTAGAATAAGCACTTGCCTGGCAAGCACAAGGGTCTGAGTTCAATTCCCAGTAAGGCAAAAAAAAAAAAAAAAGAAAGAAAAAAAAGAACTGTGGTTGTGGCAGTTCTGGAAGAAAGAAGCACAAAGTAAATAAGGGAGTGCTGATGTTCACAGTCTTGAGGATCTCTGGCTATACCTTATTAGTTACAGTTTCCTTTAAAACAATTTTTTAATTTTTTTTACTCATTTATGTTATTTATATTGTTTTTATTTGTATTACTACACATTTGCAGTACATAATGATTATGGTTGCCTAGGGGACTATGCAGAAGATATCTTAATTCTTCTGCTTCTACTAGTCCTCCACTTTGCCCCCATATCTTGCTTTCCTTATTTTTGAAAATGATCTTACTCCCTGTTTCCTATTATTAATCTTTATTTTCTCTTAAAATTATTATTACCTTGAATTTATTGGATAAGAGAAACCATGTGATAGTAGAGATTGTGCATCAGATTTTTTTTCACTGAAATTATTGTCTCAAGGTACATCCATTTTCCTAATGGCATAAATTTAGTCTTCATGACAGAAGAGTCTCCTTGCTACATATCTTTATTTGTTCTATTTTGCTTCATATTACATATTAATGGAAAATATATTAAAGTTGTTACAAGTTCTTCTAAATCCTCAGTATTTTGTAGGTTGGCATTAGAACTTGTAATAGAGTAGGAATGAAATTTTGGTCTTGCCTTTCAACAGAATATGACCTCAAAAGAGAAGTGCAATCATTGTGTTCTCTAGTTTCTCTGAAAGGAAAAAGAGTGCTCACTACCACAGCACATATACTAAAATTGGAACAATACAGAGAAGATTAGCATGACCCCTGCACAAGGATGCCACACAAATTCATGAAGCGTTCCATAGTTTAAAAGAAGAAAAAGAAATCATTGCACTTTATGTATTTCTTTGAGAGTTTGATGAGTAAGATTAATCCAATAACAATAGTTTCCCCTTACTCTTGTGTCCAAGCTGCATTTCTAAATTCTTATTTTAAAAAATATATTTTTAAGATGTTTTTGTTTGTGATTATGTCAACTGGCATATGGGAATAATTAAAGCAAATATCAGCCTCCTGTGAAAATGGTATTAGACGTACACCATTTAATATCTATGATTGGAAAACTAGAACAAAATATTTGACTTGTTTACTGTTGAGATAGAGAGTTATAGTATAAAATAAATTATGAAGTTCAGGTAATTCTACAATGATAATTATGTTAGTGAGTAGAATATATGATTTATTGTCTTCATAAATTAGATAAAATATTTGAATAAAAACTAATTTTAGTCTTCAATTCTAGTCTGTTAACAGAAACAGGCAATTAGAGATAAGTCTCTTGTGATGTAAGGAGCAGAGGGGGAAAAGGATCAGGAAACAGAGCTGTCCTAAATTCCCTTAAAGTCCTGGTATGGTTACAAAGTGGGACATGGGCAAATGATGGAAAAGGTTTCAGCTTTTACTGAGGCTTTGTTTAGTAGGAAGTCTTTCTATTTAAACTGAGATAAATGCCTATTTTTTTGTACTTTCTTGTATAAAACACTAAAAATGAATATGTATCTATGTTATACCATGACAATATCAACATTCATAAAAACAAAATTCATCCCAAACAAGAAAATACATAGTCTATAAAACCTGTGAATGGAATCATAAGTAAAGGAAAAATATAGGTAGGTAGTTGACACAATTGACTTCTACTTTCTCCTTAAAAATATGAAATTTGACCTCTCTGTACTCAAATTATTGCAATAAACATATATTTTCATGGACATGTGATATCAGCCTTATCATATTTTGGCATGTTGAAAGCTAGTCTAGGAAAACAGCTATTAAAAGTACTTTTTCAAATAAAACATCTCAATTCATTTTTATTAATTAACCATCTCATAAGATAATAGATTATTGACTACTACTGGCTGAGAATTAAAATGTCAAACCATAGTCTCATCCCACAAAATTTTAGAGAGTATACAAAAATTTTTACATTATCAAAATGATTACCAAAATACAAGACTCTGTGAAAGCTACCCAGATCTATGATGGGATTTCATGCACAAATGATTTGTACAAAGGTAGGTTAGGTTGCTAAGTTATCTATACTATTGCTCCAAGAATAGGTTAATACATTCAGGGAAAAGAACCCAGTAATAAAGAGTTCACATTTTGAATTAATTAAAATAGCATGGTACTAGATGAAGATGTTGATGACAGGAAGATAGCTAGTATTATTAGAGAGTTATTATGCACCTGGTCTCTTACCTGCCCACCTTAGTGTAGAGAAAGTTAGAATATGCACATGGAATAACTGTTCATTTGGGTAATGAAACTTGAAAAGAAACAGCCCTCATTTTCAAACTTTTATTAGATTATTGGGGGGATCATTTAGAAGTTCATCTGCCATTAAGGGGGGAAGAGAGAGAGAAAGAGAGAGAGTGAGAGAGAGCAAGAGTGACAGTGAGAGCGGGGAGAGAGAGAGAGAGAGAGAGAGAGAGAGAGAGAGAGAGAGAGAGAGAGAGAGAGAGAGAAAGAGAGACTGAGAGAG